TATATATATATATATATATATATATTAAAACACGACCTCACAAGATCAAAAGAAAGGAGATGTCTCTCATAGGTCACTTTAACAAGTGGTGCATATAGGTGGTGATCAATAATCACCATAGATATATAATATAAAAATAATGAATGGTTGAGATTATCATTTAATGAGTAATAGCATATTATACACCTTCACACACAAGATCAAAATTTCCGAATTTTTTTACTAAAATTATTTTTTTTTAAATTACCCAAAAGAGAAAACACGTGTTACGATGCACTGACACAACTGCTATTCACTTTCGGAACGGGCCGTTCGGAAATCAGAACGAGCTGTTCCACATGAAAAAATAATATATGAATATTGGATCAGAACGGGCCGTTACAGATGAAAAACAAAACACATGACGAATGGAACGGAACGGCCTGTTCCAAAATCAGAACGGTCCGTTCCAAACTCAAACATAACACATGACTCATTAAACCAGAACGGGCCGTTATAAATTCGGAACGGCCAGTTCTAACTACAAATTTGTCAAACGAATTTTTTTAAGCAAAATAATATTTTTTTTTTCATTCTACTAAATTACATCTAAACCCTAAACCCTAAACCCAAAAAGTCTTATACTAAGGCCCATAATACAAGATCAAACAATATAAACTCCTATACTACCAAAAATATGAGAAAGGTGGCCATCCATGTAAAGTCCAAGTAAAGAGAATCCTAGGCCTACCAAATCAATTGGGCTCACTGAGCTCAGAAGTAGTCAAAAGCCTAAAGGCCATGAAGTCCAAAACTAGGTCCAATAAACTTAAAACCCAAAAAGTTTTATACTGAGGCCCATAATACAAGACCAAACAATATAAATTCCTATACTACCAAATATATGAAAAAGATGGTCATCCATGTAAAGCCCAAGTAAAAAGAATCCTAGGCCCACCAAACCCATTGGGCTCACTAACCTCATAAGCAATCAAAAGCCCAAAGGCCCATAAAGCCCAAAACTAGGCCCAATGAACTTAAAACCCAAAAGTCTTATACTAAGGCCCATAATACAAGACCAAACAATATATAAACTACTATACTACCAAAAATATGAGAAAGGTGGTCATCCATGTAAAGCCTAAGTTAAGAGAACCCTAGACCCACCAAACCCATTGGGCTAACTAAGCTCAGAAGCTGTCAAAAGCCCAAAGGCCCATGAAGTCCAAAACTAGGCCCAATAAACTTAAAACCCAAAAAGTCTTATACTAAAGTCCATAATACAAGACCAAACAATATAAACTCCTATACTACCAAATATATGAGAAAGGTGGTCATCCATGTAAAGCCCAATAAAGAGAACCCTAGACCCACTAAACCCATTGGGCTCACTAAGCTCAGAAGCAAATAAAAGCTCAAAGTCCCATGAAGCCCAAAACTAGGCCCAATAAGCTTAAAACCCAAAAAAGTTCTCTTTACTTGGGTTTTACATGGATGACCACCTTTCTCATATATTTGGTAGTATAGGAGTTTATATTGTTTGGTCTTGTATTATGGGCCTTAGTATAAGACTTTTTGGGTTTTAAGCTTATTGGGCCTAATTTTGGACTTCATGGGCGTTTGGGCTTTTGACTGCTTCTGAGCTCAGTGAGCCCAATGGGTTTGGTGGGCCTAGGATTCTCTTTACTTGAGCTTTACATGGATGACCACCTTTCTCATATTTTTGGTAGTATATGAGTTTATATTGTTTGGTCTTGTCTTATGGGCCTTAGTATAAGACTTTTTGGGTTTTAAGTTTATTGGGCCTAGTTTTGGACTTCATGGGCCTTTAGGCTTTTGACTGCTTCTGAGCTCAGTGAGCCCAATGGGTTTGGTGAGCCTAAGATTCTCTTTACTTGAACTTTACATGGATGATTACCTTTCTCATATTTTTGGTTGTATAGGAGTTTATATTATTTGGTCTTGTATTATGGGCCTTAATATAAGACTTTTTGAGTTTAGGGTTTAGGGTTTAGATGTAATTTAGTAGAATGAAAAAAAAATATTATTTTGCTTAAAAAAATTTGTATGACAAATTTGTTGTTAGAACGGGCCGTTCCGAATTCAGAACGGCCCATTCTGGTTTAATTAGTCATGTTTTATGTTTGAATTTGGAACGAGCCGTTCTGATTTTGGAACGGACCGTTCCGTTCCATTCGTCATCTGTTTTTTTTTTATCTGGAACGGCCCGTTCTGATCCAATATTCATGTGTTATTTTTTCATGTGGAACGGCCCGTTCTGATTTTAGAACGGTCCGTTCCAAAAGTGAATAGCAACTCCGTCAGTGCATCGTAACACGTGCTTTTTTTTTGTTGGATAATTTAAAAAAAAAAATTCAGTAAAAAATTCGAAAATTTTGATCCTGTGTGTTAAGGTATATAATATGCTATTTGTTTAGATGAATCTTATGGTCAAAAGTCATGGTGCATCCATACACTACTTGTGTTAGTGGTCCATCAGAGAATTCACCCAAAAGAAAATGACATCGAAAGAAGCAGCTAATTTTATAATTGGGACAACACAATTTTTTTTTCCAAAAGTACAAATTTTACATTTGAAATTCTTTTACTGTTGGTGTCACGTAACAGCAACTCTAACATTGGATACTCTTCCTTGAATTTTGTAAATTAGTTTTTCCATCTTCCCAACGAAGTTAGAACATGTTCTCTGACTGTGAAAGACTAGTGCACTTTTTCTCTCTACACTTTCCCATGGCCATCTATTCCAAGATGTTATGTAGACGAGGAGCTATCTATGTCTATTTCTTTTGCAAACTACAAACAATCATGTTTTAGCAAATGCATAAACTGATTAACGATCACTGCTAGGGCTCTACCACTATACAATACTAATGCTTCCCTTCTTCATATTGCTTTTACACAATTTGTTAATTGGACAAGTTATAATAGAAGCATTAGATTAAATCATACACCTCATAGTCATTTCACTCGGAATGTTTTAGTTGTCATCTGCTTCTGGTGTCCAACTGTTCACGTGGTAGTAATGACCACCATATGTGAGAAAATATAGACCTCAAGAGGATAGTAGAACATAGAGCCCTGTTTTGAATTTAGAGAAGGCACATTTTTGTTATGAAACTTAAATTAGGAGTTTTATTTTGTTTTAAGTGCATACACAAAGTCTACAGGAGACTCTTCTTTGGCTGAACTACCCGAATGTCAAAAGGGTATGCGCTTGATCCTGAGTTTATGCCTGTCAGAAGGGTTTGACACGTTTCCGACTTTACTATGTGCTGATGGATGCTGCATGATTGATCGTAGAATGGTGAGTTTTCTAAAATTTTTGATACCCTCATTTTCACCTTATCTGTCTTGCAACTAGGCACTGATTAGGACAAAATGATTCATGATTGTTCTAGAGTAATTTCAGAAGTAGTTACTGTTATTACTACTTTTATTGCCGGTGGTTAATTTATCTATTTCTTACTTTGAATATTGTATTATGATTTTCAGGGTGTTTATGGTTATCCAATTGAAATTCAAGCATTGTTCTTCATGGCTTTAAGATGTGCCTTGCAATTGCTTAAGCAAGATGCTGAAGGGAAAGATCCTACACATTTTCGAGCTTCCATGAATCTATTGTTTTTGGATGAACATGATGCCTAAATGTAAATCTTGAAAGCTTTCTCATCACTGGTTTGATGGCAACGTGATCATGTTGTACAAGCTTGTAGATTTACATGTATGTTTTTTTAAATGATTTTTATTTTTTGGTTGGCTCATCTTGTCTGCTCAATGCTCATTGTGGTTCTCCTTTTTATATTGTCAAAATCGTGTGTGGGATGTTCATTTTAGCATTTGGGAGAGTTTTGATCAGATAGTTAATTAAGAAGTAACCATTTTTTTAGAATTAATCGAAAAACAACAGTGAGAAAATAACTTTTTGATCAGGATCTGGAATTGGAAAGTCGGGGCTATATAGTTAAAGCCAGCGTGCTATTTGTTAGATGACTAATTCTAATCAATTGGTGTTACTGTGTTAGTTTGTATAATTCTTGTTTTCCCCTAATCTGATAATTAAGACCACTTTTTTTCTCTCTCTCGTCTGATTAGTAACGAGAAACCAATTGAATTGTATCGTGTGGTGTTATTTTCAAAATTATTCACTTCTTGGTTGGTGTTTATAATCTTCACGTGGTATCGTTTTAGGGAGCCTGTATTTCTGAACTCAATCTCTTTCCATTTCGGATTAAAAGAATGAGGCACATGAACTTGGAAATATATGCTTTTGGCTTATGAAGTGATAGAAAATAAGGAGTTTAGCAGTTTGTGGGTATGGTTTACAATTATGTTAATTTTATGTCAATAAACTTTACACTGCAGAATTTTTAGCAAGACTTTTGCAAGTGCTAATCTTTTGAAAGATGTCTTCCATTCCGAAAGATCGGTCACACAAGGGAAACTTGAAGAATCCAGAGGCACTAGATAGGCCAAAGGCTTCGAATAAAGAGAGTGTAGCAGAAGTGGAGAGGTCACACAATGGAGATTTGAAGAATCTAGAAGCACCAGAGAGTGTGGCAGAAGTGGGGAAATTTGATTTCTTAAAAGCATTAGAAAGGCCAAGGCCTTTGAATATAGAGAGACAAAGATCGTGTGATGAAAGAACAATGAGTGAACTATCCATAGGCATTTCTCCACGTCAATTGACCGCAAAAGCTGAAAACTGTTCTCGCCTGGGGGACCATCTTGATCATCTAAATTCTCCTCTGCCAAAGTCAGGTCTTAACACTCCCAGATCAGCTACATTTGATTCACATTCAATAGCATCGGAAGCTTGGGATGCTCTAAGGCGTTCCTTGGTATATTTCCGCGGTCAGCCAGTTGGTACAATTGCTGCTTTGGATAATTCTGATGAAAAACTTAATTATGATCAGGTAGCATGACCTTGCCATATCCTCAATATTTCTGTTATTGAGATGTGCTATTCATACAATAATTTATACATCCGATATTTTTTTGTCTTTATTTATTTTCATCACATCATTTATTACATCTCATATTTCTTCTGTCTTTCTCGCTCTTAGTTCTAAAATTTGCTGTACAAATAATAAACTTGAATTTTGGTTAGTTTCAGGCCATGTTTTCATCACATACCCGTAGTCATGGTTTCAAGTGATATCAAATCCATTAACCAGATATACATGTTATATTACAGCTGAAAAAAATAGCCTTTCTGCATTCCTCTTCATCTTTTTAGTTTTGACTTCCTTTATCACGCTGGATTAATAGCTTTGATCATTTTGTGTTTTCTGTGGAGATCTAATATAAGGTATGATTGTATCGATGCTTAGGTTTTTGTAAGAGACTTTGTCCCAAGTGCTTTGGCTTTTCTAATGAACGGGGAACCAGACATTGTTAAAAATTTTATCTTAAAGACCCTTCGCCTTCAATCATGGGAGAAAAAGATTGACAGGTTCCAGCTGGCAGAAGGGGTGATGCCTGCTAGTTTTAAAGTATTCCATGATCCAGTCAGAAACCATGAAACCCTTATAGCAGATTTTGGTGAAAGTGCAATAGGCAGGGTTGCTCCTGTTGATTCTGGATTTTGGTGGATTATTCTACTTCGTGCATACACAAAGTCTACAGGAGACTCTTCTTTGGCTGAACTACCCGAATGTCAAAAGGGTATGCGCTTGATCCTGAGTTTATGCCTGTCAGAAGGGTTTGACACGTTTCCGACTTTACTATGTGCTGATGGATGCTGCATGATTGATCGTAGAATGGTGAGTGTTCTAAGAACGTAAATCTTGAAAGCTTTCTCATCACTGGTTTGATGGCAACGTGATCATGTTGTACAAGCTTGTAGATTTACATGTATGTTTTTTTAAATGATTTTTATTTTTTGGTTGGCTCATCTTGTCTGCTCAATGCTCATTGTGGTTCTCCTTTTTATATTGTCAAAATCGTGTGTGGGATGTTCATTTTAGCATTTGGGAGAGTTTTGATCAGATAGTTAATTAAGAAGTAACCATTTTTTTAGAATTAATCGAAAAACAACAGTGAGAAAATAACTTTTTGATCAGGATCTGGAATTGGAAAGTCGGGGCTATATAGTTAAAGCCAGCGTGCTATTTGTTAGATGACTAATTCTAATCAATTGGTGTTACTGTGTTAGTTTGTATAATTCTTGTTTTCCCCTAATCTGATAATTAAGACCACTTTTTTTCTCTCTCTCGTCTGATTAGTAACGAGAAACCAATTGAATTGTATCGTGTGGTGTTATTTTCAAAATTATTCACTTCTTGGTTGGTGTTTATAATCTTCACGTGGTATCGTTTTAGGGAGCCTGTATTTCTGAACTCAATCTCTTTCCATTTCGGATTAAAAGAATGAGGCACATGAACTTGGAAATATATGCTTTTGGCTTATGAAGTGATAGAAAATAAGGAGTTTAGCAGTTTGTGGGTATGGTTTACAATTATGTTAATTTTATGTCAATAAACTTTACACTGCAGAATTTTTAGCAAGACTTTTGCAAGTGCTAATCTTTTGAAAGATGTCTTCCATTCCGAAAGATCGGTCACACAAGGGAAACTTGAAGAATCCAGAGGCACTAGATAGGCCAAAGGCTTCGAATAAAGAGAGTGTAGCAGAAGTGGAGAGGTCACACAATGGAGATTTGAAGAATCTAGAAGCACCAGAGAGTGTGGCAGAAGTGGGGAAATTTGATTTCTTAAAAGCATTAGAAAGGCCAAGGCCTTTGAATATAGAGAGACAAAGATCGTGTGATGAAAGAACAATGAGTGAACTATCCATAGGCATTTCTCCACGTCAATTGACCGCAAAAGCTGAAAACTGTTCTCGCCTGGGGGACCATCTTGATCATCTAAATTCTCCTCTGCCAAAGTCAGGTCTTAACACTCCCAGATCAGCTACATTTGATTCACATTCAATAGCATCGGAAGCTTGGGATGCTCTAAGGCGTTCCTTGGTATATTTCCGCGGTCAGCCAGTTGGTACAATTGCTGCTTTGGATAATTCTGATGAAAAACTTAATTATGATCAGGTAGCATGACCTTGCCATATCCTCAATATTTCTGTTATTGAGATGTGCTATTCATACAATAATTTATACATCCGATATTTTTTTGTCTTTATTTATTTTCATCACATCATTTATTACATCTCATATTTCTTCTGTCTTTCTCGCTCTTAGTTCTAAAATTTGCTGTACAAATAATAAACTTGAATTTTGGTTAGTTTCAGGCCATGTTTTCATCACATACCCGTAGTCATGGTTTCAAGTGATATCAAATCCATTAACCAGATATACATGTTATATTACAGCTGAAAAAAATAGCCTTTCTGCATTCCTCTTCATCTTTTTAGTTTTGACTTCCTTTATCACGCTGGATTAATAGCTTTGATCATTTTGTGTTTTCTGTGGAGATCTAATATAAGGTATGATTGTATCGATGCTTAGGTTTTTGTAAGAGACTTTGTCCCAAGTGCTTTGGCTTTTCTAATGAACGGGGAACCAGACATTGTTAAAAATTTTATCTTAAAGACCCTTCGCCTTCAATCATGGGAGAAAAAGATTGACAGGTTCCAGCTGGCAGAAGGGGTGATGCCTGCTAGTTTTAAAGTATTCCATGATCCAGTCAGAAACCATGAAACCCTTATAGCAGATTTTGGTGAAAGTGCAATAGGCAGGGTTGCTCCTGTTGATTCTGGATTTTGGTGGATTATTCTACTTCGTGCATACACAAAGTCTACAGGAGACTCTTCTTTGGCTGAACTACCCGAATGTCAAAAGGGTATGCGCTTGATCCTGAGTTTATGCCTGTCAGAAGGGTTTGACACGTTTCCGACTTTACTATGTGCTGATGGATGCTGCATGATTGATCGTAGAATGGTGAGTTTTCTAAAATTTTTGATACCCTCATTTTCTTTTATGTAATGCTCTCAAAGATAAAAACTACTAAACACCCTCCTTTTGCACACATAACAGGGTAGTATTCAAGCACAGTTCAAGTATTTCCTGTTTCAATTTGTTTTGGAGTTGGAGGTCTAATAGGTCTCCAAGACCATATAAATAGCATCCATAACTCAATCAATGTTGTACCTTACAAACAATTAACAGCAGAAACTAATTAACCAGAGCTTTAGAAGCATGGTAGCTGATTACTTCATAACATTTATTTCTATTATGACTTGTCTAAATGATTCTGGTACATGTTGAAGGGTACACCTGAGATATCATAGACATGTCTAGTGTAAAATATGTCAGATTTCAAAATATATTAGACACGCATTAGGTTTCAAATGGAAATGGTCTTGGTTGTCTCTTGATCTATGATAAAGACATTTAAGAAAGTATCATGTGATGATCTTCATGTCAATGTCACGCACTAGACCCCATTTGGCCCTTGCCCCTTCATGAATTTCTTGAGGCTATCATTCTGAGCTGTTTATTGATATTTCATATTTGATAAAGATGTTTTAGACAGCATCATGTGATTCCTTATGCCAATGTCTCCACAAGACCCCATTTGGATAGCCCTTCAAGAATCATTTCTGTACCAAATGGTACACCAATGTCCTCTCTTTAGCTATGTATATATACACTCATGGTTGAAGTCCCAACCAAGCTAGTCAAGTCCAAGCATTCTCTAAGCATAGAATACTTTCTGTTCAATTCCTCTGAAACCATTCCCTTGTTTTTCACATAAAAAAAGCAAGCATCATGGGTTTCAGTTTGCGTGGTGTTCAAAGGCGTGTGGAAGTCCCAAAGGGCTGTGTAGCAGTGTATGTTGGAGAAAACGAAAACGAAAAGAAGCGCTTTGTGGTTCCCATATCATACTTGAGCCAACCTTCATTTCTTGAGTTGCTGAATCAAGCTGAAGAAGAATATGGATTTGATCATCCAATGGGTGGCCTCACAATTCCTTGCAGAGAAGATGTCTTCCTAGATGTTACTTCTCGCTTGCACAAGCGATAAGAAGCCCAACACAGATATTATATGCTAGTTTCAATGTTAATCAACTAACTCATTGTTAGAAATGACAAAGTCTAACCATGTATACGTTTTCTTCTTTCCATTTTGATCCTCCCAGGAAACGGAAAGATGTATTGTACTCTAACATAGAATTCTATGAATTCAAGAGCAGCAGACGCTTTTTTTCTTCCTATTATGAGTTTAGTTTCTTTCTTTTTAACCTTTATTGTGTTAATAATATTTTTAGAAAAAACAAATTTTAGCTCTATCAATTGAATCTCTACTCAAACAAGAAAGTCAATCACAAAAAATTATATATTGGTACATATATGCACGGGACTCAACAACAATAAGTCTGTTCGGATACAGATTAGAAATGTTTTTAAGAATTTTTCTATTGAAAGTAAAGAGTTTTTTCCCAGTAAAAAAATTCTAAAAAACGTTTCTAAATTTGTATCTAAACAGGTTTAATAGCTATTTATTTTCGCAACCTTCTTAAGCTTTTCTTGTGGCAAAAAGCCTGATTATGTAACACAGATGGATTTCTTGAATTCCCTTTATTACATGAAGGTAGTAATAAACAGACGTACATAATCAATTTAGAACAACTTTGTTTGTGGATGGAGTAACTGGCTTCCTTATAGGGCCAAAACTCATTCTTTATAGGGCCAAAACTCGTATAGAATAGTCCTTGCTAGATACATAATCTCCAAATAGGAACAACATTCTTCTGGCTAATTCCCTCTGGAAATCCAAGGTCCCCTCTAAGGTGAGGTCTTTCCATTTGAACGAAAGCACTTACGATTTTTTTTCCAGGTTTGTGTTATATATATATATATATATATATTTATTTACACACATAAATTCTCATTCATTAATTATAACATTGTTCATCTGCTAGATATTAGTACTTGGAGCAATTTCATCGATGTTACTTCCAAGATTTTAGGAGTAACCGGAGTGTTATGTTTGCAATCACTTAGTGCTTAGGGATAGAGAGGAATAACAATTTTAAATTACAAGTTCCTGCTGCACATAGCACCTGCTTTCTTACCCTCTATACGGCTATTTTATAGGGTCTTCTTTGCCGAACATGAAAGTAGATTGGTTATAGGATTGATGAACTGATATGTTTTTCACTTTTTCTTGTTTGCTCTGTTTTTGTATTGGAAAATTTTATCTTTTAGGAGGAGATCTTGTCTTCTTCTCGTACTGCTTTAATAATCTTTTTTCTATCATAAAAAGAAAAAAAATAAGGTCTACCAAAAATTATGCCAGGAATATTCTTCTGTTAAAACGTAGAACCATCCTATTAGTTGATATATAGCTATCAACTGGATGTTTTGTTTCATAGAGTAGTTCATGTTATTTAGCTATCAGTTTCCATGCTAACCCGAGGAAAAAATGTGATATGTTTGGGCATGTCTGCGACATATGAAATAGGCCATTACATTGGTGAGTCTTCCAATTGTACAAATAATTTGCTCATTCATTTTCAAGTGGCAACTATATTGGCAGATCTTTCACGAGTTGGGACAAGCATTTTTGAGGCTGAAGTAACCCGAACTTTTTAAGACAACACACTACCATGTGATCTCTAATGAGCCATTGTCTCTTGTACTCTTACTAGACCTCATCAAATATCTCATTTACCCATGAACATACTTGTATGGATTTATATTTACTTATCATTCTGTTCTCTAAGAAAACAAGTGGTTCATATCCTGAAGGACCCTAGCTAATATCATAACTCCAATATCTTATCTCATATTGTTAGAATACAAACAAGTCTCACATCGATAAAATAAGATAAAAAATAACAACTTATATAACACAAACATACTCCAATGATTGAGAGGCCTTTTAGGTGATGACTAAAAGCAAAACTGTGAGGGTTTAGGCTCAAAGCGGACAATATCTCATTATTGTAGAGTATGCTTGTGTAATAATCTTATAAAAATAACCCTCATAAAATATCTCCTCAGACAAACACCATAAAATAACCCCATCACATACACTCCTCCACATCTATTCTGTTTTTCTTTCATTTTCAAGTGGTCATCATGTACACTCATCTTCCAGAATGTAGGACACATTGAGTTTCTCTTACAAGCAATAATTATCCTTAGTTAAGGCCTCTAAGACAATATCATGTGATCTCTTGTGAACCCTGTCTGCTTGTATCCTAGTTGAACAGATCACACGCCACTGCTAAGTTCTACAGAAAATACTAGTATCCACAATTTAAGCCTGAGTTCATCTATATATACTCACCACTTCGTTCAAAAGGAACACAACTCAATTTCTCTCTGAACAATCAAAATTTACGTGTTACTTTTGTCTACGAGTTCTCTGTCATCATTCTTTACATCCCGGTGCCAATTAAAACAACACAATGGGTTTTCGTTTACCTGGTATTAGAAGAGCATCCAAGTGTGTTGAAGTCCCAAAAGGCTATCTTGTAGTCTATGTTGGAGATAATATGAGGCGGTTCGTGATTCCTATATCATACTTGAACCAACCTACTTTTCAAGATTTACTGATTCAATCAGAAGAAGAATTTGGATATTCTCATCCAACAGGTGGTCTCACAATTCCGTGTAACGAGGATGTGTTCCTAAATATCACTTCTCGCTTGAATGTGCTATAAGCCTATAACTCATGCTAAAGAAGACTGATACTCACTGATAGATTTGATGAGAAAAAATTGTACAGGAGGCAATTTCTTTTTGATTTGTCACTTTTTTTTTTCCTTTTAGCATTCCTCAGAGAATGGAATGATGTTAATGAGAAAGAAATGAAAAGAGATTTATTCAACGTAACTTTTATTATATCTCATTCAATTCTAGTATTTGAGGTATTGTTATCCAATCTAAGTTAATATGTATAAGCTTCTAATTCAAGATCAGTAATTCTTTTGGAGATGCTGACCAAAACTGACCTAATAATGGTTATAATTGCAGCACTATTTTACCACTTATGTCCATGAGCAAAACTTGGAACACCAACATATCTTTCCTGAAAATGCCTTAGCCATTATTTGCTAGATTCTATAATATGTGGTTCATCTGATTCCTAGTTTTTTCCGTGTCATAGAATAAATATCTTAATTCAGTGGTTTTACCCATTCTCCCATTCTATCTACACCTTAAATTCAGCCTTATTTCCGGAGGGTCATTTCTTCTTGCATTGTCCTAATCAATCAGCATCATCACATGGCTTGTTAGTTGTTTCTGGGGCAACAAGTGATAACCGGTCATCCTCTGCTAAAGCAATTTACAGTTGCTCACAGCATTGATAGAGGGAATCAAGAAGAATCCTAATCCACATAAATTGAATGATTGATTAGCAGCAATTGATTTCTCATCAACGGCTCTATTATTTCCTTCTTTACGACTCATGTCTGTTTATCAATTTCTCTCTTCTCTACTTATATGAACCCTGAAATATTATTTACAGCATAAACATTAGTTGACTGTCATAATTGTTATGGACCTCAAAATAGCAGTAAGCAGAGTTAGGGAAAAACATTGGGTCACCTCTGAAGGAAAAAAGAATCTTTATGAAACAGTAAATACAATCTTTCATATCCCCCCTTTAATTTATTGCTTAAATACGACCTAAGAAGAAACTCAAAGCTAGTTTCATAAATTAGAGTTCTACTAGTTAATTATTCTGTTTTGTAAGTATCAAGTCAACCATTTTTTTTAAAGAATTAAAACAAAAATTCATCATATTTATATAAAAAAAATATGTTAAACCCTTTTAAAAATAGTACGATGAAGACCTGAACTTATTTACTAAAATAATAATATATCAAAAGAGTATTACAAATGGTTCACATTGGACAAATTCAAATGCTTCATGCTGGACTACTGCATGTTGGCCCCCTATCTTTGTGATCTATAGCTATCAACAACCTTAGAATTCATTAACAAGACAGTTTTTTTATAAGCAATATAGCATTGACTTGCATTATCAATATGAAGAAAACGCGTAGACATGTCTAATGCATGTCCCAAAATGAGTAGCCATTGAACATGCAATAAATTTGACCAGAGCATATCTCATTTTATTTCACGTTGGTGCTTTATTAGCCTTTGGTTCAGAAGGTGGGTTTTCACACTTACTGAACTTATTGATCCTCGATAGATGCATGAGACAACACCATGTGAGCTTTCATCTCATGGACCCCATCTTTTTACCGTTACTTTTCTGAATCATGGATTTCAGGAAACTCTAAAAACTATAAATATATTGTCTCTCATATTCAACTCAACTCATTCGCATTCTCAGAGTAAAACTTAGATACACTCCACTTAAATTTGAGAACTTTAGCTTGTCCATTGAAAGATTTGAAATGGGTTTCCGTTTACCTGCAATTAGAATGGCTTCATTTACTGGTAGCCAAGCATCTTCAAAAGTTGTAAATGTGCCAAAGGCTATCTTGCAGTGTATGTAGGAAAGAGAATGAAGCGGTTTGTGATCCCCATGTCATACTTGAACCAATCTTCATTTCAAGAATTGCTGAGTCAAGCTGAGGAAGAGTTTGGATATGATCATCCAATGGGTGGTCTCACAATTCCTTGCACAGAAGTCACCTTCCTACATGTTACTTCTAGCTTGAATGGGCTATAAATCTTACCCAGCAGGGGACTGACACAGATTAGTGGTAAAATTTTGTAGAATAGGCTTCTTTTTTAGACTTGTAAAGATTTTTTCCCCCTTTTCATGGGAAATGGGAGAGAGTTGTTTCTCTGAATGATAAATTCAAGAATAGATTTTTTCCTGCATCTTCTTTTTTCCAGTTACATTGACACAATGTATCCATCAACTTAGCCAGCTCCTCTGTGCTTCTGTTTATGAATTACAAAGCTGGTGATTCCTTGGAAAAAATAAACTAATAAGCAGTGTTCACTTTTCCTTGTTGAATATTTATGGCTAATTTGTTTTGCTTTGAGCAAAATCCAGTTTGATTATTCTCATACATTTCACCGTCTTACTTTTATTACAAAGTAGTTTTTTTCACAGCATTGAGTTATTATGGATTATCTATATCTAGATTTTCTCTTATATTTTTTAGAGGGATTTTTTTTGGCTGTGCTGCAAAAGCTCCAAATTCAATGACCAGCTTTATGGTTATCAATTTTCATATTTCAGTACTTCTTTTGTGTTGCAGCCAAAAACACATGT